ATGAAGTGGACTTCCTTATCTTTTGTTATGCCTTTACTTTGAGATCTATTTTGTTAGATATAAGAATAACTACCCCAACCTTTTTTCATTTCCATTTTCCTTAAAAAAATTTTCTGTCCTTTCATTTTCAGGTTATGTGAATCCCTTGTTTTGAGGTGGGCCTCTTGTAGACAGCATATATATGGGCCATTTTTTTTTTTTATCTATTTAGCCACTCTATGTCTTTTGATTAGTGTTTATAATCCATTTACTTTTAAGTTTATTATTGATAGGTACTTGTTTATAGCCATTTTTATTCCTTATGCCCGTTTTCCTTCTTCACTTTATATTTCTTCTTTTTACAACAGTCCCTTTAGTATTTCTTACATTGCTGGCTTGGTAGAGATAAATTCCCTAAGCCTTTTTTGTCTGTGAAGCTCCTGATTTTCCCTTCAATTTTGAATGATAGCCTTGCTCTATAGAGTATTCTTGGATTCACTTCCTTGCTTTGAATCACTTTGTATACGTCATTCCATTCCCTTTGGCCTGATATATTTCTGTTGAGAAATCATTTGATAACATAATGGGATATCCTTTGTAGGTAACTCTCTGTTTCTCTACTGCAGCCTTTAAGATTCTCTCTTTGTCATTAACATTTGGCATCATAATTACCACATGAGTTGGTGTGGGTATTTTGGGGTTCACCTTGTTTGGGGCTCTCTGTGCTTCTGTGACTTTTTTCTTTACCAAATCAGGGAAGTTTTCTGTCATTATTTCTTCAAATAGTTTTTCTAATCTTTCCTCCTCTTCTTGTTCTGGCATCCCTATTATACGTATGTTGCTTCATTTTGTGTTGTTCCAAAGCTCTCCTCCTGCTTTCTTTTTTTTTCTTCAATTGTTGTTCAGTTTGAAATTGTTTCTCTCCCATATCTTCTAACTCACTAATTCAGTCCTCCACTTCTTCTAGTCAACTTTTGAAAACTTCCATCATGTTTTTTATTGTAAATATGTATATTTTTCCTTTTACTTCTTACATAAGTTGTTGATTTTGTCATCCATCTGGTTTATGAACTATATGACCCAGAATTTTTTTCTGACATATTGAATGCCTCCATTTCATTTCATTCCCTGTCATTATTTCTTCAAATAGTTTTTCTAATCTTTCCTCCTCTTCTTGTTCTGGCATCCCTATTATACGTATGTTGCTTCATTTTGTGTTGTTCCAAAGCTCTCCTCCTGCTTTCTTTTTTTTTCTTCAATTGTTGTTCAGTTTGAAATTGTTTCTCTCCCATATCTTCTAACTCACTAATTCAGTCCTCCACTTCTTCTAGTCAACTTTTGAAAACTTCCATCATGTTTTTTATTGTAAATATGTATATTTTTCCTTTTACTTCTTACATAAGTTGTTGATTTTGTCATCCATCTGGTTTATGAACTATATGACCCAGAATTTTTTTCTGACATATTGAATGCCTCCATTTCATTTCATTCCTTTTCTGATGATTCCTCCTTTTCTTTCCTTTGGGGGTTGTTTCTTTGTCTCTCCATTGTTACTGTCTCTTACTGGACCTGGGCTCCCTGCTTGGGGTTTAACAAATAAGCCCTTCACAATCCAATTGACTTGGACTACCTATCCCCTGGGGCTGGGTCTGCCTTGATTTTCACATCTTTATTGTCTCTGCTTTGAGTTGTAACCACTTCTACATGGATCTGGTCCCTCCCTTACTTGTTTCTTGGGGTTGGCGAGGATGGGTGCACAGATCCTCTGGTATGTGACTCTCTGTGAGGGCACAGAACCTTCTGGCATGCAATTCACTGTGTGGCCCCAGCCCCTAAGGTGAGATGGTTATCTAGGTCCCTCTGGAAGTGCACTTGCAGCATGGTCCTGTGACTGCTGATCAGGCACACCAGGTCACACCAGCATCTCTGACCTGGGCTGAGGGTAGTGTGCACTGGGTGACAGCTCTATCTGTGCTGGGGGCAGGGCATCCACCAGCCAAAGGGTTTGTCTCTGCCGGGGGATAGCACACACTGGGCTGAGGCTCTGTCTGTGCTGGGTGGGTGTGGAGGTGGTGCACACCAGCTAAAGTGTCTCTCTGTGCTAGTGGTGGAGCATGCTCTCTCTGTGCAGGGAATGGGTCTGTCTGTGATTTTGGCAGATTGTTCTGTCTGTGCAGGGGGTAGGGCACTCATTTGGCAAGAGCTCTGTCTGGGTGGGGCTGGGGGGAGGGGTGTAGCATGCATCGGGCTATGGTTCTGTTTTGGGATAAGGAATGGAGTGAGGAGTGGAATATTCATGGTTTGCACTCACAATGTGGGAACCTGAAATGGGAGAACCTGAGACACTGGGTTTGGGCTCCTGCTAGGAGGCACAGCTCAGGAGTTCTGTCTGGGGCACTCTCACTGCAGATGTCTGGGATCCACATTGTGGTACTGCACTGCTCACTGCTGGAGCACCATGGTGGTTCCATGAGGGTTATGGCTACAAGCAGTTCCCTGTGCAGGTCCCAGGGTGTGTCTGAGATCAGTCTGCATGTTGGTATAGTAGCAATCCTGGCCTCTGTTGCTCCCCTTTATAAGATGGCATGCATCCCATGCCAAAGTGGAGCCGGCCTAGGGTGTCTGTAGCAATAGCAAGGGCTCCCCCTCTAGAAGAGCCTGATCTGTCAGTCCTTGGGACTCCTGAGATATCTATATGTCCCTTTCTTACCTACACACATACCACACAGGTCCACACATACCCCTCTCACATCTTCACTCGGTCACATTCTCTCACTCCATGCCATCCTATCAGCTGCCATGTTGAAAGTAACCATAGTTTTTTAATTAACTCATCTCCTGATGGGCACTTAGGCTGTTTCCAAATATTAGCTATTGTAAATTGTGCTGCTATGAACGTAGGGGTACATATATCCTTTCTGATTGGTATTTCTGGTTTCTTGGGATATAGTCCTGGAAACTGGGTCAAATGGGAGTTCTATTTTTAACTTTTTGAGCAAACTCCAGACTGTCTTCCACAGTGACTGTGAAAGGGCGAGGACTACGCCCTCCATCTTGCCCCAAGGTAAGGGCTATGCCCTCCATCTTGCCCCAGGGTAAGGGCTAAAAACAACAGCCGTGGGCAAACTATGGCCCACGGGCCAGATCCGGCCCATTCGGCTGTTCTATCTGGCCCACAGAGCTGAAAGAGCAGAGGGATCTCTTGCTCTCCCCTCTGCTCCTTCACCAGCAGCAGTTTTAACATGGAAATGTCGGAAAACACGGCTGCAGCTCCTTCTTCTAAGTCCAGTTTAAGAACCCATTTTGGCCCTCAAGTCAAAAAGTTTGCCCACCCCTGGGCTATGCCCTCCATCTTGCCTCGGATCCTCCATTTTTGGGCAGCAGCCTTAGCCATGGGCTCAGCAAGGAGCTTCTTCCAAGAAGCCCAAGCCTCTGATATCCACACCTAGGATTTCTTTAAACTAACCCATGACAATCAAGGGAAGTGCGCGCCATAGATATTAGCAGATCCTGTTTAACAAGACACTGACTTGCGCCTGGCCAATTGGCAGGGCCCACAGTCCTTTCTCCTCCCCTTACTCCAACCCCCTATAAATCCTCTCTCCAAACAGAGTTCTCTCTCTCTACCACTTGGCGTGCCATTGTGTCTGTGAGTGTGGTGGACGGGGAGCTCGAGCTAGCTCGAATAAAGACTCTTTGCTTTTGCATAGGACTCTGCTGGCTCCCTGGTGGGCTTTTGGGGATCTTGAAATCTGGGCATAACATTTGGGGGCTCGTCTAGGATCCCCAAGACCCTTGAGGGACCCCTGATCCAGAGAGTCTGACTGACCACGGTAAATATCTGTGTGTTGTGTATTCTGTTCTGTGTGATATATGTTATGTTATATGTTATCTCTAAGGCACCTGTCCTGTATATGGAGGAATGGCTTCTAGATGGTATTCACCATCAAAACTTGGACTGGCTAAGGGTTCAAATCTGGCTCATCTTTTTTTAAAAAAAAGGTAGAAGAGAAGCATTCCTAGGCAGTTTTCTACTGCCTCTGTTCAGGGACTTGTTCTGTATCTGTCCTGTGTGAGCTCACTTCTGAAATTCTGTAAGTGCCCATAATGATCTAAGTGGATGCACTGGGGGATCACGGGTGGGAGGAGTCAGGGGACACCTCGATCCTCCATTTGGAGGGGTGTAGTTTTTGCTTCCATGGAGTCGGAAGGTCTGTAGAAACCCCTCAATGTGAGAATAAGTGGGTCACTCCCGCTGGTTGGCGTGCAGCTATTGTCTAGCTTTCGGTTTTTGCTTCCATGGACTTGGAAGGTTGTATTTTCGGGCCCTCTTAGTTTTCTGTGTTTTTATGTTTTTTCTGTGGACTTACTGGACGACATTATGGGATGGACTCAGACTGCTCCTTTGGGTATTGTGATTGATCATTTCAAGGAGATTGGGGGAGGCTTTAGAGCTCCCTCAGGAGTTGGGAAGTTGTTAGGAATTGAATGGATTATTTAAACTCTGAATGAATGTCTGGTGAAAGTGTGTGAGTGTGGAGTGAGGGGGCCTGCCCTCTCCCCTCCTTTGTGTGGCTATCTAAGTATGCCTAGTATGAAGTCTAGATGATAGAAGTTAATCTATTAATTGAAAATACCTTATATTTTATTTGAACAGAATGTGGGGGAATGAAAGAAAGAAGCCCACATGGCCATCCAATATGGACGTCACTCCCCAAGAAAGCCACTTCTTAGCCTCATCTTTGCCATCTTTATCTTTTTCTTCCAGCTAATGACTTAATGCATCTGGGATTTCTGTGCACATGTAAAGGGAAAAGGCCAGTTTAAAAATGAGTGCACATAGTTTTGAGCTGGACTTGACCTTTTGCTGTGTACAGAATAAAAACCTGAGACTGTTTTGGCCTTAAAAATGGCAGAGATGAACCTGACAAACATATCCAACCTCCTCAGTTGCCACAGTTTAGGGTGACCTTGAGGGCTATTTGGTGAGAGCTCTTTTGAAATTTCCCCCTGAGGCAAGTACCATCAGGAAGTTGATAGTCAAGTTTACATGTGAATAGCTATGGGTTTGCTTCTTGACTTCCCCAGCAGGAAAATTGTGACCATTTTGAAATTTAGCAGCTATGCCAGGCCTATTGGCTGGAAACTTAAAACTTTTACGTTCAAATCATCTATGGGGCAAGAAGTGTGCTTGCCTAGCGGATTTATTTTTATGTCAAATTCTTTAAAAGGCACTGATAGCAGTAATCCAATTTCTAAAGTAAAGTACGATTATTTCAGGTAGAAACTGCTTTCTGTAAATTGATCTGTCCTTATTGCTTAAATATGTATCTGTGTCTCTTAAAAAAAATTTGAATGTATTGCTAATCTGAGGACTGTTAATTATTTACATGTAACCTAAAAATTAAGGTTAAGAGTTCTAACTAACTGGAAAGCATGGCTTTGATGTGATGGGAGGAAAAAATAAAATGTTGAATGAGTGGTAGGCCAGTGAGCTGGGACTGGTCACTGGTGGATTGTGAGAAGGCCTGGACGTGGCCTAATTTCTCCTTCCTTGGTACCCCTGAAACGTCAGAGGGTACTTCTGGCCTTGGTTTTCTTGTTTTTTGGTCTTGGATTTGTTTGTTTGTGATGAGTATCGTTACTATCTGGATAAGACATAGGTCAAGAATCCTGTCCAGGGATGTGGGAAAGGGAGGCCTCCACATCTGTTCCTGTCGGGCCCCAAATCAGGGGACTTGGGCGGTGTTCCTGTTATCTGCTCAAGATCCCAAGACTGTAAAAGTACTTGTTCACTGAAAGTGTGTAAGTGTAAATGTTTATTTGATATTTGTATGTCTACTTGGGTATAATTATTTGTTCATATAAGTGTGGAAGTCTGCGAAAAAAAAAAAAAAAGGCACACACTTGATTTATTTAAGGCTGAATGCTCTGACCGATAGCAAAGTGCCCTAAGCAGCCGCCCAAGGGAGCTTGCTCTTTGTCAGAGGTGGAATCGGCCCGCCTAATTAGTAAACATCTCTTTGTCTGTTTGTTTGCTGGGAACTTTGATTTGCTATGTGATACTCTGTGCTGGGTTGGGATTTTGAAATTCTGGGGTAGATTTGAAAGGTATTTGTGGCTTTTCTAGTCTGATTGGGACATTTAAGGGTGGGGCTCACAGTTCCTCAGGGCAGAGATTTCATGGGCCCTTCCTCCTGCCTGTGCTGAATTAAATAATACAGGCCAGTGTCATTTGGCTTGCTGGTTAAAGGAAGACAATGGACCTTAGAATCTGTAAAGGTGGTCGGGAATGAAGCTGGTAAAATGTACTGAAAGGGTTTGGTACCTGTTGCTGCTAGCAAAGGAGGGGCTGATACCCGCTTCTAGCGCACTCCCTTGAAAGATGCCTGGTTGCTGCTCTGCCACAAAGGGAACGGGTAGAAAGGCAAGAAAGCAGAGCGCTGTAAGTAATAAACAGGGTTACCTAGAAGCCATCAAGACTTTGAAGTTCTTCAAAAGAGGAGGAATCTGACTCGGAGACTGGAGGGGACTGGGTGGCTCTCCTATCATGTTTGGCAGGCCACTCCCTATAAAACCCTTTTCTTTAACTATCTCTTACTTTGAGAGGGCTCCAGAGGGCACACGAGGACATTTGGCCGTGCCTCCGCGCCATCTACGAGACTGGCCCAACCCCAACTCCTCATCAGCACAGACCAGGAGATTGGGTCTACATCAGAAGGCACTGCTGGGAGACCCTCGAGCCACGTTGGAAAGCTCCCTACACTGTGGTGCTGACAACCCCCACCGCTCTCAAGGTAGACGGTGTCGCGACCTGGGTCCATCACACTTACATTCGGTCAGCGGTCCCATCCTTGCACCAAATGGATCGTCAATTGAGATCAGCACAACCCGCTCAAGCTCAAGCTACAGTGTGCTCGACCTGCCTGATTCTGGTAACCTTGCTCGTGATCATTCATGCTGCCGGGAGCCCCCCACAACACCATATATTAGACCTAGATGATGCCTGCATCTTCATGGACATGGCTCCAAAGAGACAAGGACAATTTATAGGAAGGTCAAGAGTAGACTTTAGTGTCACATGTTTAGTCGCAGAAGATTTGGCTGCCTGAAGCAGCCATGATGCCAATATCATGTTTCATTGTATTAATATGTTGTATTAACCTTCAATTCTCTTACAGGTTTAAATGTAGCTGTAGCTGTGGACTGGTGATGGTCTACAGTCCTTAGTAGTCTTTGGGAATAACTGGCAAGTGTCCAGTCTCCCACACTGAGGGACAATGTTATAGCTATGTATGTTGGCTATGCTGGAAGGGGACTGTGTGGGGTGAACCCCAAAAGTAAAGGGTGTCTAGCTGCCAAGAGGGCAGGTACCCAACTGGGCAGGGAAGAGTGCCCACCAGGTTTTTGTTCTCTGTTGAGAGACAGTTGATGGTTGGCAGCCTGTATACTGTCTTGCAGGCCTGCGTAACCATGCCCATGTCAGGGGTAGTACAAACCTCAACTGTAGAAAGCTCGGAAAGGCTGTTTAGAATAAAAGGTCTTAGGCATGGTTATGCATATAGAGAAGGTTTTATGCCAACAGATACTGTTTTGTTATAACTTTGAAGAATCCATGAAAAGAAATTGGCAAGGAAAGTCAGAAACTCTTAGAGCAGATCAGTATGTTTTCTTCCTTATGTAATTCCTCTGAAATTTGGCAATGCTAAGTCATGGCAATACATTTCTTTGCATATATTCAATAAGACTGGTTCCTAATAGTGGTTTTATTAACGGAAAACTTTGACTGGAGTATCCTGTTTTAAAGAGCCCTGTCTGAGCTCTAAAGACTTGAAGCCACTAAGAATGCCACGAAGAAAGCCTGGTATCCTGCTTGGGAGTCCTGAAGATGGCTGGTGCTGGGGCGT